CAATAAAGTAGCTTGCGCTGTAGGGAAGTTATTTAAGTAGCTCCTTATGAAAGGGTTCGTCCAGGGAAGTACCTACTGTTACTTAACCTATTTTTGCCGCCAAATGGTAATGCCACATTATACTGCGTTCCAGTTTTGAAGGGCAAGGGCTACTAGTAAAGTGCTACTAATTATTACAGGCACATGGGACTTGTTAACTTATGTCTCAGGGTGACGGGTACAGTGGTAGTCTCCCTCAGCATGCTGATTTTGAGTCACATCGGAATCGAACCGATGGGGTTGTCTCGAAATCAGATGAGTTTCTGAGCGAGAAGATGAACCTGATTCCTGCTATATCTTTCTAATTTGTGAGTTAAGTCAACTATTGTTCCGATTTGAAATATCTTAAGTTTCCGATCGGCCAGTTGTGAATCGCAATTGTGCGCCTCGACTCGGAAGAGACGCAGTTTCCGATCGAGTGAGGCAATCAAAATCAAGCTGCTGATCGATTTAGTGAAAGTCAAAGTGAAGTAATCATTTATTCCACAGGTGAAATGTTTACACTTAAAAACGTCATTTTTTCATTGCTCGTTCACTGTACCGACTTCCCTGAGAAGAACGAGCAAGAAACTCTAGGGATTGCTCTTTTCAAATAAACTTAAATGCTATAGAATACATTTTGAATCATAATTCTGTGGAATCTAGACTCATGTTGTCTTTCCATACATCTTTATCTAACACGTAGTCTACAATTTTGTAATATGACTTTTCAATTAAAATACTTTTAATGTAAATTTTAAACTTAGGAAATGGTAATCTTAATATACGCTCCGGAATTTTATGTAAAAACGTATACAATTCCCCATAAAAGAATCGTTTACTTTAGTTAAACGACTAACGATATCGGGGTACCCATGACTTTGGACTTGGTTCTAAGGTTAATATGATGGATATCTTTTTTCTTAACGATTTTTTAAATAAATATGTATATTGCTTAAAACTCTGCAACAGTATTATTTGTTGTATTATTTCCTATATTTAATTTAACGTAAACATTTATTAAATATATTACAAACTTTATCAAAGCCACGGCCTCGACGTCTGACCTCACTAGCAGGAATTAGGCAAGAGGATGACCTCAGTCTAGCTCAAAAACACTGACTCACCGTACCTAAGTTAGGTCCTTCAACATTATGCGTATAAGTTTACGCGCGTATATCATTACAGCTTTGTTTGATCATTTTACAAATATTTGTCACCTTGTTAAAGGGTTTTGAAGTCAGTTTAAGCAAGAGTAGCGACATACATTTTTATCTAACACGTAGTCTACAATTTTGTAACATAACTTTTCAGTTAAAATACTTTTAATGTAAATTTTCAACTTAGGAAATGGTAATCTATGCTCCGGAATCTTATTGTAAAAACGTATACATTTCCCCATGAAATAATCGTTTACCTTAGTTAAACGAAATCGTGGTACCCATGAGTTTGGACTTAATTCTAAGGTTAATATTATGGATATCTTCTTTATTAACGAAATTATGTATATTGTTACAGGCATGATACCAGACTAATTACACGTTTCGCTGAGAGAAATCCGAGAACCTAAACGGTACACAGAACGAATCGCTCGTTTTTGCAACACAGATATGGTTTGTGTATCCGCCTGACCTTCAATTTACACGTCGACGAAGGTTCACAATCCTCTGAAAACGTGTAAAGTCGCTAACCAGCATTGGGCCAGCTGGCGTACTATGGCCTGAAAACCCTCACCTGAGAGGAGGCTGCCCAGCAGCGGGACGTATAAATGGGTTAATGATGATTTATACGTTCAACGTGGCGGATAACCCTGCTCTTCAACATGACCCGTGCACGTCAGTGGCATCAATTGTATGATAAAAGTCGACCTATATTTCGTCATACTTGTCACCTTTACAATGACATACATATTTTTCATTGTTTGTTAATCAAGACCCAAAAATTATTTTGAAAACAAGTTTTTTTTTGTAAAATTGTCGTTACAAGTGGTGCCATCTCGTTTTTAATGTTGTTACTAAGGTCCACCATTTTCACCAACACCCTGAACTTAGAGAATAATAGTGAATTTGACTTCAACAAAAGCTAAGCGAAATCGGAGTTGGATTTTATTTGGCGATAATAATATAGTACTGGCTGTTGTTAGCCAAATTATCGTTCGTTTAAGATCTTATTCGTCATAGTTTCGTCATATATTCATCTATTATGCCACGCTTCTAGCCGAATATTCGGTATTTGACCTGAGGCCGAATATTACAGTTCATTGAAACACTAAATACATACACGCTTGTCCGCAATCAAATCAAATGTTAAGCGACGATGTGGTCAACGACGTTACGAATTTATTTAGTAAATGCCTATTCATTGTAACCTTGAAGTTTTTAATGTTAATTGACTCTATTTCTTCTATTTATTTTT